TGTGGTTGCTAATCTTATAGAAAATTAACATCATTATCATATCAACATGATTAATATAATATCATAATTAATTATATTATAGTCACCGTATCAATTGTAATCCAAAATATGAACCAAAACCCACAGACAAAATTAGCTTCTTACCATATTAAATCAATATGATACTAAATTAAAAGCTTAATATAACATTTACCATATAATTACCTTGTAAACAGGGCCGACCCACCTTCTCCTAGCTTGTTTTCATCAGAGAAAGTCTTGTAGCCTCAAAGATTTGGCATAAAGGAAAATGGAAATCTTGAGATCCACCTCATGGTTCTCTCGTAAAATATTTGCTCATCTCCTGAGCGAACTTGAAGTGCTTGTCTTTTTGCTTTCTCCTCTGCAAAGACACACTGAATCAATTTCCAAACAATGAAAGAAATAGGTAATTAAAATATTCTTTTTGTCGACGATCAATTTAAACTATGACAATAAATATGAAAATTTTTATATAAAATGATGTGTCTAATTGATTGGAGGACTGAATATGTGAAAATAAAAGAATAAGGCCCACTGCAATTTGTACATAAAATTAAAGTGATATATTTACATTACTAAACAGAAAAGTCATTACCTTTATATCGTCTCCATTAAGCGGCAGGAAATAACCAGAGAGTATGAGTACTATAATTGTGGATAATGTCCGATTGCAATCCTAATGGTTGTCTTCTTTTTCCTACTTTGTCAGGTCAAAAATATTTTAATTTATTAAGTGCTTTCATTGCATGAAATGGAAGGACTCGTAACATACAACGTGAGCTTATAGCATAAATATTGCATTGAGAACTATTAAAATTTGTGTTAATTTTAGTATTTATTATCACGATGACAGTGATTTGCATTAAAATAATATAATAATATAAACACCTACAGAGTGTGCAGTAAAGACTCCTAAACAAAAATGATATGTTATATAAATGAATAGATAAATTAATATAAAAGTCAACTTAATAAACTCCCTAGGTTTGCTAACTTAACTAAACACTCTAATATATAATTTTTTATAAAATGACAAAAAAAACACCCCACCCACCTATAGTGCCAGATTCTGGCCATCACCACCGAAATCTGATCGGAATCTGGCGTTATGACGCAGATCGGTTGGATCTGGTCGTCGATGACAGCAAAAGGCCAGATCTGACTGTCAGCGATGGCCAAAGATATGGCCGTCGTTGACGGTGGTTGCAGAATCTAGCAACTATGGGTGGATGGGGTATTTTTGTATTATAAATTTTTTTGCTAGGGCTATTTTTGTCAATTAACAAACTTAGGGGGGTTTAAATGGTTTTTTAATTTAGGATAGATTTTGAAAATAAGGAAACAAACGTGCATTTGGAATTGGAATAGGTAGAATAGGATAAATAATAAACAAACGGACCCAAAATAATGCCAGAAATCCTCTCACCTCTTCACTCCACTGACGTGGTAAGACGTTTCTCCTCCTCACTTGACTAATTGGGTGAGACCATCCAATAAAATAAAAACAAAATTATAATTTTGAAAAACTATTCCTTATGATGGGGGTTACTCATGAAGGTTTGTAGGTAATTATTTTAAATCATACTAATGAGTAAATGAAGAAAAAATTAGATAATAAATATATGACAACACAATGTCATTTATATTAGAAGGCCTCGCCACATAAACAAATGAGATGGTGAGACTATCTAAATATGCATTTCTCTTAATCACTTTACCATGAGACTGTAGAAAGTATTATACTGTAGAAAGTAAGGATAAACGCACCTATAAATTTCTGACATTAAATATAAATCATAAAGGGATATTCGATGTTAATGACAAGCAGCTAATCACTTTACCTTGAGACTCTGTACAGAACCAGGAGCTACTGTCGAATGAAGATTCATTAAAAAACGAATACATTCAAACCGGGAAATACAGCTCGGAGTCAACACTCTTCCTCCTCTCTTCCCCCACCCCAAACAGAATCGTAATCAGCATGGGCGCTTGAAGGCATGTAAAACAATCTCTACTAGACAAACCCTGTGTGCACTGCACAAGCCCATACAACGTTTCATTAACTCTAAAATTCTCCTTCTTAGCTCCCGCGAACTTATCGGTGAATCAGACGCTTTACTCGCGGCTGCGTTCATCAAACTCAACACCGAATCATCAAACTTGAGTACGTATCTGGTGCATAAGTAACACAGTTGGCAAAGTGGTGGAGTTGAGATCACGCGGCAAGAAAGAGACCGTAGACCTCGTCAGGAGCTTGGCCTGCGACGCGTTGCGGAAAATGAACTTGGGAAAGTCATTGGAGGTGTAGATAGTAATGGGGTTGGAGGAAGATAGGATAAGAGAAGCTTGAGTGGAGTGATAAGTGCTGTTAATGGTGAAATGGAGAAGAAGAGGAGGATGGACATACTCGGCGATTAATACTGGGGTGATAAATGCTTTTGTGAAAGTGATGGCAGAAAGCTTGAGAGATAGGAAAAACCACAAGGATCATGGAGAATAAATTTACAGGAAAAGCTAGCAATATTTCTAGTTAAGTTTGTTTTCAGAAATGATTAGAGACATGAAGATATGCATCTCAAAATTTGCCTTGCCGAGTAGACGTACGAGTCAACTGGCGGCAAGCTGGTCAAGCAAATCAGGTGTTTCCGAAGGCAAAATGTGTAAAAGTCTAAATAATTTGTGTGGAAACAAGAATTAAATAAAGAGATCGATTTTAAAATACAGACCTCAATTCTTGTATATAAGATCAAGATCGAGTTTACTTTTATAAATACAAATTGATACTTTGATAGGAGTTTACGAATTTGTACTTTTTTTTATAAGTGAATCTCTAAGCCTGAATTATAATTTTTGCAAATTTTTAGCAACTCTTGCAGGCAAGTTGTGTAATAGTTAAGTCAGTAATTTAAAAAAAAAAAAAAAAAAAAACTACGAAATGTATATTTAAAATAAATTTTATAAAATTTTTAATTCTATAAGATAAGATCAACGTATTACAAGTCAAATATTATGGTCTTCCAACCAGACAATAGAGAGCTGAAGAAAAATCAATATTGGTGGAGATAAATGTCACCAAATCAAAGAAAGGGAAAGCACTAAAATGAGACACGACTTGTGTATGTATCAAGCCATATGTTGACGCTATTGACTTAGAAGAATACAATTATAGTAGTTTCTCGAGGGTTGCATATGCATGCATCCTGCAAATTTCTCATGGAAAATAGAGTAAATTCTTTGTTAGTTCACATTTCAGTTTCAAAACCAATTACGTTTTCCTGCAGGGATATGAAAACTCTTTCATAGTAGGATTTTAATTCGCTCTAAATGTCAGTGTAATACCTATTATTACAAATTAATTTTTTTATTTTTTTATAAAACATCCAGAAGTCCAATTTCAATAAACCTCTAGTCCAATTAAGTTATGCCAAGCAGAGCCTTAGTTTCCGAGCAGAGAAATGTAGAATACCAGGTGGTACGTGCCACATATTCACCTATCAATTTATTTTCAAAATCAAATAGTGCACCTAGAATATTTATTAAAATTATATTCCAATTTAGCAAGACGTATCACCATTAATTCGCTACAAGAAAAAATTTTGACGTCTAACAAAATTAGATGCAGATCATCCAATTTAGATGCTAATTGTCTGTGCATCTAAATTTACGTAATGCCATTTAGTTGCAGAATCATTGTTCGAGAAAGAATGAGCAACTAAATATTAGGTTTTGACGTATAAATTTTTTTTTTAGCGACTAACAATTTAGTTACTAATTGCTGTTTGAAATAGTCTGTGCCTTAGATGTTAAATGTGTAAGAGTAATTAAAATTGTATCGAGAATTCAGTTACTTGAAGAATGTACCTTTTGGGCATCTCTAAAATGACGCAAAAGATGACCTCCAATCCAACGCCAACATACACAAATTTGGTGTCAATGCATAATGCCACGTCAAATTTGATATAGTACTATTTATGCATGTCAATTTGGCATGACACTGTTCAACACTATAAAAAATATTTTTATTTATTTTTGTTTTTATATTTATGTTAATTTGTTATTATTTATAATATTTTATAATAATAAATTCATAATAATTATATAATTCAAAAAATAATGAAAAATAAAAATAAAACTTTATTTAAGCAAATATTAAACTACATAAACTCAAAATAAAAATTAACACTAATTAAAGACACTAAGATTAAAAGAAAATACAACATAAACTAAAATAAACATTTAATATTCTAATAAATTAGTTCAGGATCCTCTAGACATCAAAATATTATAAAGAACTAGAGTTATTACATAAAAAGAAAAAAAAAAGAGTATCTAAAGAAAATTCTTTTTAGTGTAATATTTAGTGCAATGGATTGGAAATGCAATAGCGTTTCACACCAAAAATCACATCAATTTAGTGTGAACTGTACCAATTTAGTGTTTGTGGTTAAGATGGGCTTAGTGAGAAAAAAATAGTGGTGAATCCAAAAATATTAGACTTTGAATGGTAAAAGTAATTTGATAAAAGTATTTGTACATATTATTAGTTGAAAAATGTATATTTTAGTAAACAAAAAATTAGTAGTAAATTTCAATAATTTTAAACGCTGAATGTTAAACCAAATTTGGTAAATTACTTTCCACTATTATGAAATTGTTGCAAAAAGGTGTTTTTATGAGAAAAAAATTACATGATGCCCAGACAATCTATCTAGAAACTGAAATTCCAATATAAGGTTTTCTTAGTTCTCTCTATTTACAGTAAATAGGAGTCTGATAGGAGATGTCATTTGAACCAATCTGACCTTTGACTTAATCACAAAACAGGCTAAATTAGGAAAAGATTAAACTAATAATACCTAAGATAAAGGGATCTTTAAGAAATCCAAACTTAACAATAGGCCCTTAGATGGATAAAGGGGGGATTAATATGAATAGTTAATTTGTCCAGAGATTCATGATAGAAGAACAGCATAAATTATGGGAAACCCACAACAGCTTTTCCTTACATCCACTTAATTTTCTCACATTGTAAGAACTAAAATACAAAGGCTTAGGTCAATGCAACAAAAGTTGGTGTAAACAGAAATATGCCTATTGTCTTTTAGGTTATTAACTATAACATTCATTGGATCAAAGAATAACCTAGCTATAACCTTACCATGAGAAACATTCATGACAACCAAAATTGAGTTTCTGAGTAAAATTCATCAGTTCTAAGCAACATGCAGAATACAACAAAAACTCACCCAACCAAATCAGCAGCTAGAACTGCATGCAGCAGATCTGATTGAGATGGAAGTGTCCTGTGGATTTCAGAAGAAGGGAAGGGTGTGTGGAGAAACCAACTGACTTTCATTCCACTGTTGCGGTCCTTTAGGCACTTTGGAAGAAACAATAGATGGTAGTCACGGCACCACACAACATCTCCATCCTTATAGTGTTTGTTTACAGCCTCAGCAAACATTTGATTTGCCTTTATATATGCAGCAAACTGAGACTGGAAACTCCTGGTGGTGGCCAAGCAGCCTTCTTGCAGAAGTCCAAGGTAACGAAAAAGAGGCCACAAGATGTTGTTGCAATAGCCATTGTAGTATTGATGAACAATGTCCTCATCAAGGAATACAGGAATACACCTCTGCAATAGCAAATAACAATTATAGTGTTGATGAACTATGTTTTCTCATCCAAGTATTTTATACATTTATCATATGTAAGATACCAATGTCAGAAATCATATAATAAAGTCATTACTTACCAATGTCACAAACACATAACAATGAATAAGGACTTAAATCACAAAATGATTTCGATGACAGAACTTTATACCTTTTAAGCCAATGCTTTAGTAAGTGCTTTCTGTCCAATCTCATCTGGCACATTTACTCCAGCCCATCATATCCATCTCGCCTCAACTCCTTCGCACCTCAAACAATACATCCATAATGCATATAGTTTCTCAATTCAAGTGAAAAATGCCATATCATTAATTAAAACTAAACGAGATATTCAAATAAAACAAGAAATACAATGCAAACACTATAAGAGAATTAAGAATTTGAGTGGACAAACAAATGAAATGATAGTTCAAATGCCACTTACCCAAGGGCACTGATCAGACCCCTAGCACTTATCTCTAGAGACCAAGAGTCTTCACCTGTCCTGCCTGCAGAGACCGGGAGCCTATTGGCCACCACTAGCAGTCGCTGCTTCAAAGGCCTTCCATCTGCCCTTTCACCTCCGTCACTCACCCTTGTAGACACTTCCAACTCTTGGTCAACAATAGAGGGTCCCAAGTTGTCATTGTTTTTTACCCTTGGTTCATGCTTATATAATTCAGGCCCCCCATTATTATCAGTCGCTTCAATCAGAAGGGATGCCCTGCAGCTTTTCAACAACCCCAATCTCTTACCATCTGGATTCTCACTTTGACCGCCTGAAGAAAGTAAATTAATAAAAAATGTTTGGACACAAGTGAGATTTGAATGACCAGATCAGCTACAACATGAAAATAGGTTGGGTTTACTGACATTTGTGAACTTCAAAACACGGACTGGAATCGGACGAGAAGATGGTGGAGAAGAGCGGACTATGGAAGAGTGGACTATGGAAGAAGAAGATTGAATGAATGAACGACGCCGAGAAGAATAATGGACTGCAGTAGTGAGTGGAGAAGAGAAGATGCGCGCAAATTGAAAGGGGAAATTGGGGAATTAGGGATTGGGAGTTAGGTTGGGTTTATATATATAGAAATGGGTTTTTAGTAAATAAATAGAAAATTTGGTCATTTCTGCTCACTAGTTTTTTTAACTAAGTTTGTAGCAAAAGCTTGCCTTTATAGCCGTGAAGAATACTCAACATAACTATGTTTACATTTTAGCTACACAAATATAATTTTATAACTAAAACTTAGAAAATTCTTGCTACAAAAATAATATCCATGGCAAAGTATATTAACATTTTGGTTACGTGACCACTAAATTTGTAACTAAAGAAAAAGATCATTGGTCAAATATATAATGAATTCGTAACTAAATATTAAATTATTTGCTACATATATATAGAAATCGTATCTATATATCAAAAGATATTGATATGGATATAATGTGTTAATAGCTAAATATTGAAATTACTTGTTATGAATACTTTTGATTTGTAGCTAAATATTATAGTTATTTGCTATAGACATAGAGTGTTAATAGCTAAATATTAAAATTATTTTTTATGAATACTTTTAATTTGTAACTAAATATTATAATTATTTGCAATAGAACAAATAATTTATATCAAGAATTTATAATTTATTGCTTTGATTAAAATCAATTGTAATAAATATTGCTATAATTAACAAATTTAATGTTAATTATGAATTTATAGCAATATTTTTATATTAAATAGATAATATGATGTCATAAGAAAAATTCTAATATAAAAAATAAAACATTGATAAAGTCATTTTCAACCAAATAATTGTTTACTCATAAATTTTTTCATAATTTAAAATGTTATGAACTAATTTTTTTACAAAATATGAATGTTTCAATGTCATAGCAACCTTTCCTAACCATTTAAGAATTTTCAACAACCCGCAATATCAAATTTGAAAAAAATAAAAATAAAATTAATCATATAGACTAATGTAATCATTGTATCACTTTACGATTAATGTAAAAGAAAAATAGTTTTTACAGTAATATTTGCAGTTTTCGAAATAATTTGCAATTTATCCTATAGGCAAAAGGCAGTATGCTACTCAACTAGAAAATCTAACATTAATGTTCTGATTAGTGCATGATAATATTATCAAATGAAAAAGCCAACAAAATTTAACCTGATTTTCATTGTCTGAGCCCTTAATATTATCAAATGAAGGACTGCCAAGCAATGTCTGTTCCACACGATTCATATCAATTTTGCCAGCTCCACATTCTTGAATGCCTTCACTCTGTACCTGGGTACTTGGCTGTGATGATACAGGACCTTGACCATTATTACATACAATTGGTCCCTTACCAAGCATCTCAAATCCTCTACTTTTGCTACCTCAAACATAATGATTATGGGTGCGTTTGACTTATTGTTTTTATCCATATTCTTAATCCTATTCTTCAAATGTTGTTTGGCACGTTATTCCCAAAATATTAGTCTATTTTTTTAATTACTTTTAGACCTCATAAGTTAATTAATTTCATTAAATACCCCCAAAAAAAAGTTTAAAAACTAACAAAAACACCCCCACCACCAATACTTTCCAAATTCCAGCAACCACCGCTGGTGGTAGCCGGAATTTGTCACAGCAGTCACATGACCACCGGAAATGGCCGGTAATGGCCAGATCTGGCCGGAAAAGTCAACGACGGCCAAATCTTGGCCATCGTTGACAGACAAGATGGCCTTTTCTGACCATCGAAGGCCACATCCGGCCTTAGATCTGGCCTTTTCCGGCCAGATCGTGGTGGATATGGCCGGAAAAGGCCATATTGATCGAATACCCGTCAGATCCGACTGATATGTGTGGTTATCCAATTTTCTGGGTAGATTCCGGCGGTGGGGGCCGGAATCTGACACTACGGTTGATAGGGGTGTTTTTTTCATTTTACAATAGTTTAATATATTGGGGTGTTTATTAAGTTAGCAAACCTTGGGGGCTTTTTCATAAATTTTTAAATTTTATCTCGTAATACTCCCCTATCCAACTATCCAATACTATCCCCAAAATCTTACCCAAAATAATAAACCAAACACACCCTATATGTAACTTGACCTAGCACATTTGCTGACACAGATTATTCACTTAAATTATACTCTTGAGACCGGCATTGGTCCAAAACCCTGCCAACAACTGCAATATTTGATTTACAGAACTGAATAACATAAAATACAGGAGGAAAAAAAAAATTAAACAATGCATCAAACGATGATATAAAAATTAAACCTACCAGAAGAAAGAGAATGATTCATATTGGCCCCAGAAAAAGTATCTAATCCTTTAAAGATTGTCACTATATTTTCCACAAAATGCAAAGGCCTTAAGTCCGCCAAACATATTACAACATTACAAAAGCTACGAGTGCTTATTTTCTTTTTGAATTGTATTTCAATCGTATCCAAGGATTTGATGAAGATCACAAATAAACAACAGTACTTGCTTCACGACATTCAGATTTACATAGAGGGCACTCTGAACCAAACTGCGCTAATATGGGTATACATGAACTGCAGGGAATTCATTAAAGATAATTTAAAAATAAAACACTTACTTTTCCCATAAAAAATCTAGAATAAAAATAATTTCATAGGAAGATAAAAAAAGGCTTTTTAATGTTTTGTCCAAAAGGCGGAAATTCTTACACGGGCCAGCCTGACAGCTGATAATACCTCACTCGTGTTAATCCCACCACACCATGGACCAAAAACAGTTTTACATTCTATTCCATCAAATTAAATTCAACAATTACAAAAATTTGACCTTTCATGTGAAAAACTGTTGCCTTTTCCATTGTACTATCGATTCATAAAGACAATAAAACAACCGAAACATAAATTTCAAACTAATTCCGCAACTCTCCTTTGTCAACCAAACATAGATGATTAAACTAAATTCAAGCCAAACCCCATACCACATAAAATCATACAATAATCAAACAAAACAAAAACCTAAATTAAAAGCAAACCCAGTTCATAAAATACCTGCCCTTCTCGTTCTCCGCTTGGATCCTTCGAAGAAGCATGGTCGTTTTTTCGGCAAACATGGGTCCCACAATCACGTGAATTTCATCTGATGATGAAGAATTAGAGGCCTTGGTTTGCAAGATTCGATTTTGAACAGAAAAAAGCGGGAATTTAGGCGAAGCCATTGGGTTTTAGGTTCAGTATAGATAAATCTTAGGGTTTGAAGAGTTGTACCGTTACAAAAATTGGATTTTGAGGCGAAAGGTGAGGCCTTTGTTAGGTAAAGAGACAAGGGTGTGTGTGTGAATGGTGGGGCTATAAGAGACTTCATGCTTGAAATAGTTAACATGTGGGTTGTGAGAGGGAGAAAGAAGGAGAAGGGTGTAGGGTGTAGGGTTTTGCTTGCTAAGAAAAGAGATTAAAAGTTGGCATGCTTGGGCTTGGCTAAATTTAGGGTTTAAGGGTGAGAGTTTGAGAAAGAGGAGATGAGAAGTTGCAGAGGTTGAAGGATGAGGGAAAGGCTTCAATCAAGGAAATTAAAGAGAAATATAATTTATTTTTCTATTTTTACAAAAACAATTGTATTAAATTCCATAATATAACACATATATATTTAATTTAAAATGTAAAATACTTTACATTTCATAAGTCATGTCAAATGAAAAGAAAAAAAACTAAATTTATTTATAGTTTTAGACACATAAAGTTTAAAATATATATATATATATATATATATATATATTAGAATGAATCTAAGCTAGTAAATAAAATAATTGAATGAAATACTAAGAATTATGTCAATATTGAATTAAAGTAATATTAATATGAATATACACAAACATGGTTATTATTAATTATAAGAAAATAGTGAATATACTAAAATTTTGAATTTATTCCTATTAGTTGGCATAATAAATTAGTTAGTGCTAGCTAAATGCATAAAAAATTACTACAAATAAAAGCATTTATTTGTTCAACTTATTTTCATGAATTAAGGGTTTTTATTTATAGAAAGTTAGTAGGAATCTAGGGGACACATGAACCACTCCCTAGGAAACTTATTGTGTACCATGTGATAAAATTATAATAAAAGTTTTTTTAATACATTTCAATAAGCTCAATTTGGGTATGCCTATCCATGCATTGACCATTCATGTCTTAATCCAAGTAAATTTATAATCAAACACTTAGTTAATGTTTGATTATTTTGGGTATATTTCATAGCTTCTTCAATTGGGTCATGTCTCTTCATTTCTCCAACTAAGAAATTGGGAAAATTAAAAGAATGTGCCTGCGAATAAGCTAGCATTGTCTTAGTTGTAAGGTATAAATTTTAGCTCGTTAACAAGAGACATGATTTATATTAGTATGGGATTTTGCTTCAAGTTGTATCTATTTATATTATAATATTTCCAACGCCACCCTTGTATCTAATTGTCTACAATTTCATTTATTTTCAATGATCAACATACATGAGAGAGGATAATCCTGTCTTCTTATAGCATATTATTATTGTTATTATTATTACTTTTTTTTATAACTGAGATGTCTATGTCAACTTATATATATATCAATTATTCTTTAGGGTGAGGTATCCTACAACAACCTACCGTCGCGACCCCCTAGGTAAATCATGAGAAAAGATACTATTTTTGTGCCCAACTAGGAATTGAACCTGAGATTGTGAGTTGGAACATTTGCATCCCCCTTG